CTAGCCCCGTGAAATATTTCTTTCAGTAAGCATTAGCCAGTGAGAGCGATTCAGATTCTAGTCTCGCTGATAGAAGTTGTTCAGTACATAATTCTTATTAATATTATAGCAGTGTTTTCGTCCCAGAACCACAATGATCATTGTTTAAATTAAATTGTTAGTTAGTTACCACACTATCTCGATCAATGACAATGCGCTTGAAACATTTTGATTTTAATTGAGAATAAAATAATGTGTCGTATTCCATGCAAAGAAAGATTTAAAGGTTTGAAAACACTCTAGAGTTTACAGTTCATTCACTAGTTTCCATTCCCTTAAAATAATGCCCGTATTATCTAGGTCACTATCGCCCACTACTTGAATCCACACAAAAATGAATATTATTACTTTCGGCACTCTTCCGAATACCGGCCCCATATTATTTACTGTCCAAAACATTCCTTTTAGAGCCTCAAGGGGTTCAAGAGGTTACAAAGAGGTCAAGGGGTTATAAAGAGGTTATACAAAATATGGAAAAACAAAATATGGTACAGTAAGCGTTGTGAGAAATAGTTTTCGATCGACTGAAGTGACGTAGGGAGGGATAATTTTCGATCCATCGGGGCGCTGTGTCGATGGGTAGCAAAGTTAAGATCATCATCATCAGTCTTCACTTCTGCCTGCCACCTGAAAAGAATGTTGCAAAAGGCAACTAATTAGGACTGCTGAAATCAGATGTGTTGGGGCGAAAGGCGCAGATATCGCAATCTAGCACTAAAGGCGCAGATATAGCAGCGTATTTGTAAACCACAATACACTATGCCAACCGCCATTTCAAGGGCGAACAAAAAAAAAAGAAATTAGCTGCCCTTGACATGACCATTTAGCACTTCGCGCCCGCTATCGCAGCCTAGCTGTTAACCACAAGACCGAGCGAAGGGCGCAAATATCGCAGCCTAGTTGTAACCACAACACAACGTGCAAACCACCCTTTTAAAGAAAAGCCCGACCACCGGCGTAACAAGCAGACTGCTTATCAACTGTACTAGCGAAGCAGATATCGTAGCTGTAGCGAAGCAGATATCGTAGCCTAGTTGTAACTACAAAAAAAAAAAAAAATATTTGCCGCCACTATCGCAACCTAGCTGTTAACCACAAGACCGAGTAAAGGCGCAGATATCGCAGCCTAGTTGTTAACCACAACACAACGTGCATTTTGAAGAAAAAAAAAGAAAAATGCTTGCTCGCCTGAGAATCGAACCCCGATCACCGGCGTAACAAGCAGACTGCTTATCAACTATACTAGCGAAGACTCGTTAATTTCGTTCAAATGAAATTATATAATAAAAGAAATCATAGTTTGTAGTGTTCCTGTTCCATATTTTTAACTACATGACCTCTCAAGTCCCTAACAACGACCTCTTGAGGCCATGAATGGGTCTTTTTGTCTTTGAATAATATAGGGCCGGTATTCGGAAGAGTGCCTTACTTTCTTCTGCATCTTCTGCTTCTTCTTCTTCTTCTTCACTTCCTCTTTTACCGCTGTGGGTGTCGAGGGAGATATAAGGTTCTGTTTCTGGCTCTTCTGGCCGCCTCGACCATAGGCACATCGTGCTGTTGTAGAGCTTCTCTGATGTTATCCTTCCATCTTGTTCTTGGTCTACCTCTTGCTCTACGACCTTCTTCTCTTTCCATGTATGCTTTGTATGGTATGGTGTCACAAGGCATTCTCTCTAAATGGGCAAACCATTTCACTTGCTGTCTTTGTATGTAATTTAGAATGGTTATGTGCCGACTTTTTCTCTAATGATCTCATTCCTGATCTTATCTCTTATGGTCACTCCTACAGCCCTTCTCAGACATCTCATTTCCATGGTTACTAATTTTCTTTTATGGTTTGTTGTGAGTGACCATGTCTAGCACTGGTAGCACAGAGTTGGAATAAATATGCTTTGAATAAGATGTCTCTTTGTGCTGATTGGGATTGTCTTATGCTGTAAGAGGGGGGCTAGCTGTCCCAATACTTGGTTTGCTTTACTGCATCTAATGTTTATTTCTTTATCCAATTTCCCATTTCGGTAAATGTAGTTCCCAGATATTTAAACTCAGATGCCCGTTTAATGCCTTTGTTCTCTACTGCTATGTTTAGATCTGTCTTCTTTTTTCTATTGACATTACTTCTGTCTTGTCTTCTGCATTCGCACATAAAAGGACGGTTGGCATGTTGTGGTTTACAGCTAGGCTGTGTTATTTGCATCATTTAGTCATACACCTACAATTTCAGAAAACCTCTAAGTAGACGGTTTCAGAAAACGGCTCTCCTTTGAACTTCTACCCCGTCATTATGGCGGCCAAATATCCTAACAGGGCCTCAGTCCTATTATATGCGAACTTCCGGCGACGAACGAATCGCTGCAAAACTAGGATGACCTGACAATTTCAAGAGACGCAGAACTGCAGATGATAGTAGCAGACGATAATAGCGACTGTGGACACTTCTGAGCGTTTCTGCATACGATACTAGTGACCATTGACAATTTCGAGACACCGTTTAACACCAAAGCTGCTCCATTACCTATGCCCACAAAAACCACACAGAATGTCCATCACTGTCCCTTGTTAAAAAGACAATAAAAACTGAGACAGGCTGCAGTCTCAGTAAAGCTAACAGCATATGCACACATCAAATGGGTTCTTTATTAATATTCTACCCCACGTTTCCCGGCTTTCTGATGCTTTTAACGGCCAGAAACATATACAACTGGCCCTAACCCCAACCCACTTACATCCCATGAGAAAGTGCATCCTGTCTACCACCCCCCTGAAATATTAGACTGTCCCGCGACCTGTGAATTGCCCCTGTTTGGGGTTGGATATTAATAAAGCACCACTAAATGCATAAGGAACTGTCAGAAGTGGCAACACAAAATATCAAGTAAAGCAAAGGACCATTTTATGCCAGTGGCACATTAGGCATATTATGCTAAGCTCATTTTATACATGAATTGGCACTTACTGGGTGGTGTAGCTAGCTTTACCTGGTAGGCATGACCTGCTACCCATTTTAGACTGGGTCACCCTGGGAGCCAGAATTAATTTTGAAGAAAACTGTCTTAGTGCAGATTTTAACACAATGCCTTTAGGCCAGCAGGCAAGCGTCTAGTTACTACACCGCCACCGCTACCTCTAAACATTGTTCTTGACTCTTTATAAAGAGAGCTCCCACCATAATTCATTATTGGCTCTATAAAGTTTTGTTTTATAAATAGAGCTCCCTGTGTACATCATTTTGACTCCCATAGTCTCTTTATAAAGAGATCTCCATTCATACATTATTATTTGCTCTATAATGTCTCTTTATGAAGAGTGTTTCCTCCGTGTATTATTATTGGCTCCATTTTATCTCTTTATAAAGAGAAATCCCTCCATACATTATTATAGGCTCTATAATTTTTATTTATAAAGAAGAAAAGGTGCCGGTACTAACCACACAGTGTCCTTTACAGTTGCACTAAAAGAACATTATTTCCATACTACGCACCCTTTCACACCACCAGAAATAAATACCCTGCTATCTTCTGTCTTAGAAAAATGTTGTGTTAGCTTTTGGTGTCAGAATTATTTGGCAGCTGGCCACCTATCCTCGATTCTGACAAGGGTATGGAGAGCTGCCCATTTAGAAAACTGCAATGTTTTATATACAGACTAGGGTGAGGGCACAATAAACTTCGCCAACAAATGTTCAAATTTTTTCCCTACAACCTGGCACCAGAAAATGTTGAGCACGTGCTTCTGACCTGTTCCAACCACAATGAAGACAATACTATATGTATATGGTACACGAGGAGATATGAACTGCAGGATAGCTTTCATAAAGGCTACCAGCCTCCTGATATACGTTTTCTGACTGAAGCATTGCAAAATAACTGGCATCATGAGGCCTGATAAACTGAAATGGCTGGAGAATATAGAGAGAATGACAGAGAGGCAGCCACTTTATACACAAGGGAGTTGAATGGCCACAGACCACGAGGCAGACCACGAAGACAATGTAGAGATAATATCCAAGCACACCTACAAACACTTGAGTCGCCAAATAGAAAAAAGAAAGCCAGTTACAGAGATGGATTGAGGCATCTCATATCTGCAGCATTGAATACTCTGGAATGCCGAAGAACAAGAACAACAACAAAAAGTAGATCTATATTGCTTTAATCACAAACAAGCATCATCTTGAATTTCCACTTCTGTCATTTAACGTCCTGAGGAGGAACAGTTTGGGATCCATTGCTCAGTGTTCAGCATTAGCTTTTGTCATTCCATGTCGATGTAAAAGCTCTTCAATGTTATCAATCCATTATATCCTAGGGGATCTCTTGTTTTCTTTTTTACAAATAGTATATCATTAATTAAACAATTCATAATGCATGAAGCTTCTTAATTTTATTTCACCCACTGAGAGTTATTATCAAGCACTATATTGATATCTGCATGTTTAAATATAAAGCATTTATTTAACAAGTTGAAAATAAATTACAGCACATATTTTTTTTCTCCAAAAATATTACAGTGTAAACTTCTTAATAAGTAAAAAAGTAAAGTAAAGGACCCTTTCTACGCCTTTAGGCATATAGGGCTAGACCTATATTTTTATAGACCAACGGCACAAGATGGGTGATGTGGTCAGCATCACGCCGGCCGCCTCTACTTCCCGGGATTGCACCCGGTACCCACTCAAGGCTGGGTCGACCTGGGAGCCAAGGTCATTTTTGAAGAAAAGTCCGTCTCCGCCAGGGAGCGAACCCACGAAAACTTCTTAATAGTGTAATAATAATACTACGGTACATGGATATTCATTACTGATGTTAACCGACCTTGCACTAATTTGTAACAGTTGACTGTAAGAACTTCTAACTAGCTTATCTATGTTTCACCAACTTCCTGTTGTTGGTCCAATCATATCACTGACTAAAGAATCAGCCATTAATAATACTTTAGCTACAAATCCTGTCAAGTCAGTCATGGATTCTAGAGGTGGAGTAAACGGGGTGTGCACCAATCTAACATCATCTACCCGCATACAAGAGAAGGAAGAACTACAACGGCTGAATGATCGCTTTAGTGCATATACTGCACGTGTACGATTACTTAATCAACACCCCAACAATGTGGACTGGTCTGCTTTTCGCAACTCCACAAAGATACTTGAAGAGGAGATTACTAACCTTAAGAAACTCTATGAGAATGAATTGGATGCACTGAGGTGAGTATCTCCTTCTTCTTTTCCTTCTTCTTATTTTTTTTCTTCTGTATTCACCTTAAAGGAAAGTTGGCACACTGAGTTGTGATTTACAGATAGGTTGTGACATCTACACGTTTTGGCTTTTATCATCATCATCATCCCATAACACTACGTGTCATTGGGTCACTAGTTTCTGTTGACTGTTTGATCAGCTCTCTCCACCTTTTATAGTCAGTTGCAATGGACTTCATGGTTGCATGCCTGAGGCTTGTCCAGTCAGTCAGGTTCTGTAACCAGGTCTTTCTTGGTTTGCCTCTTCTCTCTTTCCCTCTACTGAGCCCTGTAGTATTATTTTTGAGAAGCCACTAGATCTTATTACATGTCCATACCATTGCATTTTTCAGTTTTTTACTGAGTTAAGAGAGTTTTATAGTTGCCAGTGTGCTGTAAAATTTTATGGCGATCTTCTTTGTTTGTAATGTGGTCTCTGTATGATATGCCAAGAATTTTTCTGAAACATCGTATTTCTAATCCTTGTATGTTTCTTTCAAGTTCAGCTGTTAAGGTCCACGTTTCACAGCTATATGTAAATGTACTAACAGGTAGTGCTCTGAGCAATCGAACCTTAGTTTTGCATGAAATGTTTTTAGATTTCCATAATGTTTTCTGCTTGACAAGTACTGTTGTCTGGGCGATCCTAGACATAGTTTTTGGTCTTGACCCCAAGTTACTTCAAATGGATCCTAAATATTTTAAATGAGTCACTTGTTTTAATTTGTGGCCTTTAACGTAGATTGGTGAAATTCTGCCATGTGGATTATTAATCATTACTTTTGTTTTTTCTGTGTTTATTTCCATGCCATACTTGATTGATGTTTCATCGAGTAGATTTACAAGCTCGACTATTTCTTGTTCTTCTCTGGCCAACCCATCAATGTCATCTGCAAACCTTAAGTTTGTTATATTTCGACCTCCGATGCTAACTGTTCCATGATGTTGTTCTAGATCATCAGTCATAATTCTTTCTACAAAGATGTTAAACGGTGTTGGAGAAAGGAGGCAGCCCTGCCAGACTCCTACTGTTGTTTGGAACCAGCTTCCTATTTGTCTGTTCAGCTTGACAGCACTGCTGGCATTGTCATAGAGCTGTTCTATAGTATGAATGAGGGTTTTACCCATGTTGTACTTTTTTCACAATGTCCCAGAGTACTGCATGGTCCAAACCAACAACCAGTGACCATAAGTAACCAATCACTTGAAAATGTAGAACATTTCACATATCTTAGCAGTGTGGTGTCCCTACCGGGAGGGACAGAGGAAGACAAACAGTCACACCTGAACAAAGCTAGAGCTGCTTTTGAAAGGATGAGGCAAATCTGGAAATCCAACAATTACTGCAGAGGAACGAAACTTTGACTCTACAAGAGCATCATTTTGCCAGTTCTTCTTTATGGAGCGGAATGCTGGAGAATGACCAGAAAGGATGCACACAAGCTATTCACCTTCCACCACACATGTCTACGTAGAATTATCAAAATTTTCTGGCCAGATACAATCTCAAACACTAAACTACTTCAAGCCACAAACCAAGAAACTTTAGACAGCATGATTACCAAGAGAAGATGGAAATGGCTTGGCCACGTTATGAGAATGACTTCTGATATACCTGCCAAAGCAGCTCTCACATGAACACCAGAGGGAAAGAGAAAACAGGGGCGCCCAAAAATACCATGGAAACGAACGATGGAAAGTGACCTGAGTGCGGCATCTTTGACATGGAAAACTGCACTGAAGATTGCACAGGACAGGAAAGCATGGAAAGTCCTCTCTGAAGCCTCTAGTGCCACTAGGCATAACGAGAACTGATGACTGAAGATGAGAGTGCTGCATGCCATACTCTATCAAAAGCCTTTTTGAAATCAATGAACACATGGTATAGATATTTTTGGTGCTGTTGGTATTGCTCAGATAATATACATAGATTAAATATCTGTTCAGCAGTGCTTCTTCTAGCACAGAAACCTGCCTGCTCCTCTGCTATGATCTCTTTCTGCATTTAGCTTTAATCTGTTTAGGAGTATCTTGAGCATGACTTTACTGGGATGACTGATGAGACATTTAGTCCTATAATTTTGACATTGTTGTAAATTCCCCTTTTTTTGGTATTGTAACAATGAGTGATTTGGTCCAAAGAGAGGGCCATTCACCAGTCTCCCAAATATTGTTGCAGATTTCAGTGAGGATGTAGATGACGTCCTCTCCCCACCTTAAGGATCTCAGCTGGGATATTGTCAATTCCCCCAGCTTTCCCTTTTTTTTAGTTCTGATGGCCAATTCTACTTCATCCTGGAATATGGGGAAGCTGTCATCTTCCAATGCTTGGCTGTTTTCAAGGATGTCGGTGTTGCTATTTGTTTGTTCATTATACAGGCTCGAACAATATTCAGACCATCTATTTAGGATGTCATTATTTTCTGCGAGTAGTTTACCTTCTGTGTCTTCAGTGGCGTTACTTCTTAACGTTTTCTCTCAATTGATTTTTGAAATATTGCTAAAAGCTTTTTTACTATTGTTCAACTTGTTACAATCTTTTATTTCTGCACATCCGCTTTCTATCCAACTTTCTTTTGCCTGTCGCCTGTCTTTTCTAATCTGAATATTTATTTCTCTATACTTATCTGCTAGGTGAGGATTGTGCCTGTCTTTCTTGAGGTGCCTTCTCTGGTCACACATATTAGGAATTTCCTGAGTGACCCATGGTTGCTTTGGTTTTTTTTTTATCCCAACAATTTCTTGTGTTGTTTCATTTATTATTTTGTTGAATTGATTTGTTAGTGTCCACAGCATAGTGCGTCTCAGGCAGTATTTCAGACCCTGGCGGGGCCACTCCTCTCCAGGTGACCATTTCCTTGTTAGCCTGTATCCTCACGGACACAGTTTCCAGTCTGCACCACAGGAAGGTGGGGTTGGCTTGTGTGATCATGGAACAGCAGCAGGCTTTAATTTTCACTTTTCAGCCTCCTACCTAGGAGAGCTAGCTGCCCCCAACACTGCTGGCTGCAGTGCCAGGCATGACCACACCTTACAGACCTTTACACAACATATCTCAGCAGCTCCTTGTTACGACTTGCTTGTTAAGGGGGCAGTAGGACTGTAATTTTCTCACCCACCAGCTTTAGTTACTTATTCCATTCATGGAGGAGAATAATCAGGAAAGGGGAATATGGACAAGAGACACAAGGATTGCAGATTGGTTGAGAGATGAACAACTGAGAGGAAACATGTCAATCAGATACAAGTGATGGCAACAGGTGTCCTGAAAGCTCATGCATTTATTGTGGAAGATTGTTATGCAAGTTGATCGAACAAACGAACGAACAAACTTTATTTTCAAAGGGTCACAAATTGGGCACGCAGGCCCGTCTTACATTTGGCCCTTCCAGTCAACCATCTTTCCCACAGCAGTTGTATTTTACTAATAAAGCATGTTATTATCATATGATGATATGCATATTATGAATATTATAAAAGAACACAAAAGCATGAGTTGTAAAGTGCATGCAAAAACTTGCGCGTGCATAAATACACCCACATACACATGCTCACCCAATCACTTAGACACACATACATGCATGCATACATTACATACATAATCATATGTATACAAACACGCCTACACATACATACATATCACACACACGCACGCGCCTGCGCAAACATACATATCATACACACCTTGTTTAATAATAAATTGATAAGTAAATATGGGATTTTTATTCACATTGTGCCTGATCTTGCTAGTCAGATGCCATCACCAGGGACTATGACCCCCATGCCTTCCTACAGCACAGTGGAACATTGTCCGGAAGGACAGAAAGTTGCCTTCAGATAAGACCTTGACTGCAGTGACTTCTGTTTATAAAACAGAGCAAACATTATAGTCAATGTACTACCACAGCAGGAGCCACAGGAGCATAGTGGCTAGATGCTTGCCTGCCGGCCTAAAAGTTTCAGGTTTGAATCCTCAATGAGGTGGATTTTTTCTTCAAAGAATTGGCCTTGGCTTCCAGGTTGACTTAGCTTCCAGGTTGACTTAGCTTCGAGGTTGACTAGCCACAAATGGGTATAAGGTAGGCTAACATAGAAAGGTAGCCTAAGATAGAAAGGTAGCCATTGTGATGTTGACCACATAACCCACTGAGTGCTGACTGCTCTTTAAGATTCTACTATCATACACCCAGTGTGCCAGTGCCTTATTTAAAACCCCCAAAAACTGCTATTACTGCCTGTATTCACCATTTTTTTGGTGTAGCTAGAGGGGGAGGGTGTGGTCTTTGAGCACAAGGATTTTGAGCTGCATGGATGGTGCTATAGCCATAGACTGTGCAGGCTCAGATTTCATTACTGCTTTATAAGGGATCCTTTATGCCACCTAACCTATCTCACCTGGTGAATGGTAATGAGCAGGCGGGGAAAAAACTGTTAAGCAATGCACCAACACAGGTGGGAGAAAGCATTGAGAGAGCAGTTATCGATACTGTATGGACAGAACTAGTGGATGATGATGTATCTCTTTCACCAGGGCAATTCATCTAAATGTACTCGGGAGCCAACATTTTGAAAATGGCGATCGTCACGGGCCAGATGCCAGAGCCTAAGCATAGAAAGATCACTAATACATTACAACTCAAAATGATTTGCGGGCCACTTGCTATGCCTCCAGTTGAATAGCCCTGTCTTATACTAACACAGTTGCACAACCTGGAAGTAAAGAATTGTGAAGCATGGCTGTGCTGCCTTCAAGGCAGAGGAAGGAGACATTATAACTTATGGGAAAAATCAATAGAAATACTTTTTTTTTTGTAGTGGCTGCTACATGAGAGGGTTGAGCATGCATGTGAATACCCAATGTACAGTAATGTTGATTGTGATAGCATAAAGAGTCCTTTACTTGTTTTACTACCATAGCTCTGATAAAAGTATTACATAGAAATCATCTAGTATCAGAGCTGACATCTATATTGAAGGAAGTGCCAAATTTGTCTACACTGCTGAAATAGTCGTATACCAGTTTGTCTTCTTCTTCTTCTTCATTTGTTGTCACACTGATACCAGCTTGTAGCCCAGTGTCGTGGTTTTCTGTATTTGTCTTGCACTTCTCGGGTGGCTTGGGATTTGTTCATCTTTTTTGCAGGTTTCGGCTTCACCATTTATCCATTTCTGTCTTGCTCTTGCCTTCCTCCCAGATGTTCTGCTGTAAAAACTCTCAAATGCAGTTTGGCCTGGCCGCATTCTCACTAGATGGTCGAACCATCTCATTCTTTGTCTCAATATAATCCATACATAGTCTTATTCCAGCTTTCTCTCTAATGCTGGTATTCATAACCCTGTCTCTTCTTGTGTCCAGTTTGTCTTACGCTTGATATCTTTCTTTTCAGAAAAGAGATTGAAGCAGGTGCCATTGAGCGGGGTGCTCTTCATGCTCAAAACAACAAGCAGCAAAAGTATATAGGGGATCTGAAGGATAGGTCAGTTGCATCTTGTTGTGTCATCTTCTTTAGCGTAACATTATGCAGACATTAACTTAAACCATGTTTCAGCTACACATTAGTCTGAATAGCCATGTTATACCCAGACTATACATTTCACCCCATAAATGCTAAAACAAAATATTTCATGAACCCATGGAAATTTCCTTTAAAAATCCTTAGAAAACAACTATGTTACACAGGTAACTAAACAATGCTTTTAACTATATTTTTTCATGTTTGCATATATCTTCTTAGAGTCCATGCCGTGTAGTGTTGATAGTCATGTCTTTTGTACAGACATGACTTTACCTTGGAAAATACTCACAGTAGGTGGCAATTTCTTTCTGTGAGAGCAGTGCCCGTACTTGGGGGTGGGGGAGGGGGGGGGGTTGTCCTAGCCATTGTGCCTATTGAGGAATCTTCTGCCTAGCACAGTTTAAGTGATGACCAGTATCTAAAACCTCAGCTGCTCACCGTGGTTATCCATCACCTGCCGATCAGGTGGTGGAGGGGGGGGGCCTAAGCTGGTACTCTATCCCTGCCCATGAGGTATCCCACAGGCTAGCGGAGGGAAGGAGGTACCTTACATCTCCTGTTGGTAGGGTTTACCCTACCCTGCTACCCTCTTGAAATAAATAAGGATACATAAAGAAAACAAGAACAAAGTGAAGCATTAAATGGAATACATTCCCCATGGCCTAAAACGAATATGTGTCGGGCGACTCATGCCATGACCTGCTGACTTCTATCACTGAGGCTTACAGAAACATTTTTTTAAGTAAATCTGGCTTTAAAAAAAAATTACTGAATTCACAGGTAAACCGCTCTATATGCTCTTTAGTTCATATATTCACATCCGGGCCTCTTAAACCTTATGGAGGCACTCATAGAACAGTGGTATTTGATTATGCTTTTTGAGATATGGACACTGTAGAAATGGTAGTACATCAGCATTTACTGTCACAACCAGAAGGGACTAGATTTAGCCTACTCAGGGTGATAGGGTTAGGCTAAACTTCTCAGAAGCTAAACTTCTCAGAAGCTAAACTTCTCAGAAGCTAAACTTCTATTCTGCAGACTCCTACTAGTTTTCTTTCTGTCCTCATATATTTAACCTAACTCTGCATGCACATTTATTTGTTTATATAATTATTTTTTTTTATTAATCCATGTTTTGTTCAGTTCTCATTTTATAGTCCTATTTTAACTCTTTCAGGACATTTTATAGTCCTATTTTAACTCTTTCAGGACATTTTATAGTCTAGTCCTATTTTAACTCTTTCAGGACATTTTATAGTCCTATTTTAACTCTTTCAGGACATTTTATAGTCCTATTTTAACTCTTTCAGGACAACATTTTTAAGGGGTTTGGACAGCATTAATTTTGAGCTGAATTTTGTTTACTGCAACACAACAAAGCTAAAACCTTCCTGAAGAAAAAGTATTGGCTTTATCAGGACATATAATATATCAAATTAAAGATAAATAAGTGCAGACAAATCTAAACTATTTAAGTGTCAGTATTACAACAAAATTTAATTAAAATCACACAAAATTCAAGGATGTTATACCCATATGAAGACTATTTACATAAAAAAGTGTGTGCTGACCTTACTTTTTTACTTGTTCAGCAACACTGCTATCCAATTCTAAGAATGCACATGCCTTCTCTGTTCAATTATTTATCATCTAGTCTTCATTTGAAACAATTATTTTAAATAATTCAGATGTTATGATCATTTTTGTATGACATGTCAGATTTCACAACTGAAAATCGGGAAAACAACTGATCGAAACAGATGATCCAATTGAAATATTTTGTTATATTTTCATATCCTAAACTAAATTATTGCCATTATGTTTGTCATTTAGATATCAATCATTATGTCAAGACTATTGTCACAATCTGGCAGAGATTCATCAATGACAGAGCATTATGAATAGTTCTAGACCTTTTCCCTTATCATTTAGTATAGAAAAATCACGCAAAAATTGTATCACATCTATAGAATTTTTTTTAATCAGAAAGTGATGCAAAAGCCAAGCGGGACATAGCAAACGAAAGGACTTCCTGTTGGTAATCCTAATTTTTCAAAAACTTGTTCATAAAAGTTTGTTTTCTCCACAAACAGACAAAATTATGATAGGCCAGTATACTGGTGACTAGTCCAATAGGGATAAATTTATATGCTAGTTTACTGGCGAAAAGTCCTCAAAGAGTTAATATATGATACACAAGTTTTAATAAAAATTGTAAAATATATTCATTTATCATCTTTTTTTTGTTTTCAGGTTATTAACTGTTAACATTTCCTTCTACAGACTCAATGTAGAAACAGACAAAAACAGCAGGCTTCTAGATGAGATTAACACTTTACAGAGAAGAATTGGAAACCTTGAGGCAGCAGTTAAAGATGCACACATAGCAGCCCAAAGACCACAAGAGGAAGTGGAACAGCTGCAAAGAACTGTGGACAGTTTATCAAGGGAACTGGATCAGTGCAAGCAAAGGTAGTCTAGCATTGTTTGATGATGATCATGACGATGATCATGATGATGAGGATTCGATTGGCACCCTTCCGTCTTTCCAGATGATAGTGTTATATTGCGCTATAAGGTGGCATGAGACTCACAGCCCATGGCGATGGCGAGTGTTTCCGAGACCTATTAAGGCCAGGGATGAAGTTCCTCCTCTCCATAGCACAAAGCCTGGGCAGTATTGTAGAGACCATATGTTGCCCTTGCATAATGATCCCTTCCTCAACCTGCCTTGTTTACTCCAAAGGAAAGGGAAAACCAGTACGTTTGGAACGAGGCAGGTTGCAGAAGCTGCCGGATCAGAAGAGCAGTGCTCTATCTGTCCGCCTGTAGGAGCTTTCCTCCTAGACCAGCTGCCAGCCAAGGCAAAGGGCCTGGTCTGCCCTGCTGTAACATAAAGTTTTGAGGTTGCATTTCCTCTTTCTAGGATAAGATAATAATTATATTTACAATGATAATAACCTTCAGTTTTCAAGATGAAAATACAGACTATAACCTTATACAGTATACCCCCTTGCAGGTTCTGGAACCCATTTGGGGTAGGGGTAGGAGGGAAGATTGATCCATAAAAGATTATTAATTGAGGGGTTGCTGAAATTTCACGTATTGAATCAAACAGTGTAGATATCACAGCCTAGTTATACACCACAGCACAGTGTACCAGCCACACTCTTAAGGACAAACACAGAAGAAGAAGAAAAGGATATATTTTCTTTTTGTCTGATTGATGTAATTGCTTTGCGCCTGTTTACAGCAAAACTGTGAGATTTGCATCTTTGGAATACACATTTGACCGTGTCAGGAATTTGTTCAGCAGGTTCGCTTTTTTGTTTGGTTTCAAGAGACATAATGTGGCCTTATTTGTTTGCTGTCCTCTCTGTCCCTTTATCTACAGATGTTGCCCCTGGAGAACCCATCTAGGGCAATGTCGTGTAGACTGGTTGGCCCTCAAGGGAAGGCAGGGGTAGGTGATATGCATTCCCTGTCATCCAACAAGGCTTCCATAAATGCAGAACCAACATATGCCACTCTGGTCTTGGGCTCAAACAAGGAATCCTTACGTCCTGCACAAAACTGCTTAACCTCATATGCATAGTTGAGCTTCTCACTCATCAGGGGCTGTTCCAAAAGAAGTACTTTGTTTTCATTCTAATCACTTTTAAGAAACTTTTTACACAGAAAGCCAGTGTTGATGTAGTTAAGTGAACCATAGTCAGGCAGCAGGTAAGCACACATTTCATTGGAAACTGCAGATTAGTGGTTTTGTAGAAGATTAATCAATTTTTTTGTTTAAACTATGAGGCTAGCATCACAGGCCTGATGCAACACCAGTATTTAAAAAAGGGTCCTTTAATTACTGGCTACTTACCCACATAATAAATGATAACATTATTTGTTATATTTTCAGATCTGAACAGAAAATTGTTTCCAAACAAAAATGTGAGGAGAGATTACAACAGGTTTTGAGAAAAGTGGAATTTTCAGATCAAGTTCAGAATCATCAGATAAAAGATTATCAGGTTAGTAATAAACTAAGTGACAAGGGGAACATAATCTGCATACATCTCTTTGAGTGATAAGGAAAACATAATCTGCATACATCTCATGGAGTGACAAGGGAAATGTAATCTATATACATCTAATGGAGTGACAAGGGGAACATAATCTGCATACATCTCATGGAGTGACATGTGGAACATAATCTACATACATCTAATGGAGTGACAAGGAGAACATAATCTACATACATCTAAAGGAGTGACAAGGGGAACATAATCTGCATACATCTCATGGAGTGACATGTGGAACATAATCTGCATACATCTCATGGAGTGACATGTGGAACATAATCTACATACATCTAATGGAGTGACATGTGGAACATAATCTACATAAATCTCATGGAGTGACAAGGGGAACATAATCTACATACATCTCATGGAGTGACATGTGGAACATAATCTACATACATCTAATGGAGTGACAAAGGGAAAATAATCTGCATACATCTCATAGAGGGACATGTGGAACATAATCTACATACATCTCATGGAGTGACAAGGAAAACATAATCTGCATACATCTCATGGAGGGACAAGGGGAACATAATCTACATACATCTCATGGAGTGACAAGGGAAACATAATCTACATACATCTCATGGAGTGACAAGGGGAATGTAATCTACATACATCTAATGGAGTGACAAGGGGAACATAATCTACATACATCTCATGAAGTGACATGTGGAACATAATCTACATACATCTAATGGAGTGACAAAGGGAAAATAATCTGCATACATCTCATAGAGGAACAAGGGGAACATAATCTACATACATCTAATGGAGTGACAAGGGGAACATAATCTACATACATCTCATGGAGTGACATGTGGAACATAATCTACATACATCTCATGGAGTGACAAGGGGAAAATAATCTGCATACATCTCATGGAGTGACAAGGGGAAAATAATCTGCATACATCTCATGGAGGGACAAGGGGAACATAATCTACATACATCTCATGGAGGGACAAGGGGAACATAATCTACATACATCTCATGGAGGGACAAGGGAAAAATAATCTGCATACATCTCGTGCAGTGACAAGGGAAAAATAATCTACATACATCTCATGGAGTGAGAAGGGAAAAAAAATCTGCATACATCTCATGGAGTGACAAGGGAAAAATAATCTACATACATCTCATGGAGTGACAAGGGGAACATAATCTACAAACATCTCATGGAGTGACATGTGGAACATAATCTACATACATGTAATGGAGTGACAAAGGGAACATAATCTACATACATCTCATGGAGTGACATGTGGAACATAATCTACATACATCTAATGGAGTGACAATGGGAACATAATCTGCATACATCTCATGGAGTGACAAGGGGAAAATAATCTACATACATCTCATGGAGTGACAAGGGGAACATAATCTACATACATCTCATGGAGTGACAAGGGGAACACAATCTACATACATCTCATGAAGGGACAAGGGAAAAATAATCTACATACATCACATGGAGTGACAAGGGGAACACAATTTACATACATCTCATGAAGGGACAAGGGAAAAATAATCTACATACATCTCATAGAGTGACAAGGGGAACATAATCTACATACATCTCATGGAGGGACAAGGGGAACATAATCTACATACATCTCATGGAGTGACATGTGGAACATAATCTACATACATCTCAAGGAGTGACAAGGGGAAAATAATCTGCATACATCTCATGGAGTGACAAGGGGAACATAATCTGCATACATCTCAAGGAGTGACAAGGGGAACATAATCTACATACATCTCATGGAGGGACAAGGGGAACATAATCTACATACATCTCATGGAGGGACAAGGGAAAAATAATCTGCATACATCTCATGCAGTGACAAGGGAAAAATAATCTACATACATCTCATGGAGTGACAAGGGAAAAATAATCTGCATACACCTCATGGAGTGACAAGGGGAAAATAATCTACATACATCTCATGGAGTGACATGTGGAACATAATCTACATACATCTCATGGAGTGACAAGGGAAAAATAATCTACATACATCTCATGGAGTGACATGTGGAACATAATCTACATACATCTCATGGAGTGACAAGGGGAAAATAATCTACATACATCTCAAGGAGTGACAAGGGGAACATAATCTACATACATCTCATGGAGGGACAAGGGGAACATAATCTACATACATCTCATGGAGTGACAAGGGAAAAATAATCTACATACATCTCAAGGAGTGACAAGGGGAACATAATCTACATACATCTCATGGAGGGACAAGGGGAACATAATCTACATACATCTCATGGAGGGACAAGCGGAACATAATCTACATACATTTCATGGAGGGACAAGGGAAAAATAATCTGCATACATCTCATGCAGTGACAAGGGAAAAATAATCTACATACATCTCATGGAGTGACAAAGGGAACATAATCTGCATACATCTCATGGAGTGACAAGGAAAACATAATCTACATACATCTCATGGAGTGACAAGGGGAACATAATCTACATACATCTCATGGAGTGACAAGGGGAACATAATCTACATACATCTCATGGAGTGACAAGGGGAACATAATCTACATACATCTCATGGAGGGACAAGCGGAACATAATCTACATACATCTTATGGAGTGACAAGGGGAACATAATCTACATACATCTCATGGAGTGACAAGGGGAACATAATCTGCATACATCTCATGGAGTGACAAGGGAAAAATAATCTACATACATCTCATGGAGTGACATGTGGAACATAATCTACATACATCTCATAGAGTGACAAGGGGAACATAATCTACATACATCTCATGGAGTGACAAGGGGAACATAATCTACATACATCTCATGGAGGGACAAGCGGAACATAATCTACATACATCTTATGGAGTGACAAGGGGAACATAATCTACATACATCTCATGGAGTGACAAGGGGAACATAATCTGCATACATCTCATGGAGTGACAGGGGAAAAATAATCTACATACATCTCATGGAGTGACAAGGGAAACATAATCTGCATACATCTCATGGAGTGACAAGGGGAACATAATCTACATACATCTCCTGGAGTGACATGGGGAACATAATCTACATACATCTCATGGAGGGACAAGCGGAACATAATCTACATACATCTTATGGAGTGTGACAAGGGGAACATCTACATACATCTCATGGAGTGACATGTGGAACATAATCTACATACATCTCATGGAGGGACAGGGGAAAAATAATCTGCATACATCTCATGCAGTGACAAGGGAAAAAAAATCTACATACATCTCATGGAGTGACAAGGGAAAAATAATCTGCATATACCTCATGGAGTGACAAGGGGAAAATAATCTACATACATCTCATGGAGTGACAAGGGGAAAATTATCTACATACATCTAATGGAGTGACAAGGGGAACATAATCTACATACATCTCATGGAGGGACATGTGGAACATAATCTACATACATCTCATGGAGGGACAAGCGGAACATAATCTACATACATCTTATGGAGTGACAAGGGGAACATAATCTACATACATCTCATGGAGGGACAAGGGAACCATAATCTACATACATCTCATGGAGGGACAAGGGGAACATAATCTACATACATCTCATGGAGTGACAAGGGAACATAATCTACATACATCTCATGGAGTGACAAGGGAACATAATCTACATACATCTCATGGAGTGACAAGGGAACATAATCTACATACATCTCATGGAGTGACAAGGGGACATAATCTACATACATCTCATGGAGTGACAAGGGGAACATGATAAACAGCATATCAGTTAAAAGGTTAAAACGTTAAAATTTAGAGGATTGACTTCATTGTACCGTGTTTTACACCATATAGCTTGGTGTCTCTCCACCGAATGGCTAGCCGTCTGCCGAGAGCATCTCACAAAGCACGAACTTCGTAGCTCTGGTTATAATTCTCTGGGATCTCTGTAAAAATTGCACTCATGAACTGAATGGCACAACCATGAAACAAACCCACACTCTTCAGAGTACGAGGTAAATAGCTTGACCACTTCACCACAGAGACCCCATTATGTCTTAGTAATTTTTATTAGCTCTTAGTTCTTTGTTGTCGGCTCTGTGGCTAAGTTGATGCGAACGCTTCGTAATGCCGGAATGCCGGGTTCGATACCAGCTGCGGGCCATCGCCTTGCGTTGGTTTCGACAGTGGTATCAAGAAAGCCGACCGTCCAAAAAGCAATGGCAAACTACTGGACGTAAATTTGCCTAGAAAAACCACACAACAGCCAGAGGCTGTTGGGGTTGGTTCTGCAACGTCCTGTAAAGAATACATAACTAACCTTAGTTCTTTGTTAGTTTTTTTGTATACTGGGTGGTCCCACATTGACTTCTGGATGAGGCAGTTATTTTAAAGGTCCAGATGCATGGAACAGAAACAGACAGTAAAGTTCATACTAGAGATAATTTGCAGATGTAGATAATCTATTTCAAGTGAACAAAAGAAGAAGAAGCTTGGAACAGTCACACAAAATAATTTGCTTTTGTGTTTGTTAGAATCGACTTGATGCTGCTGCAGCCACCAATTTAAGTTTGGAGGCTCGAATTCGAGAGCTGAGCTGCCCAGATTTGTCTGTCAATGAAGTGCTCAAGCAGGTACGAGAGGCAGCTGAGGCAGAACTCAGAAAGTACCAGGCTGAATCAGAGAACCAGTATGTCAAAAATGTGAGTCAGTGTATTGTGTGTCAGTGAGTTCAAATTAGGTAGTGGTTTTATATATTTCATTATTTTGATTTTTCAAATTGCTTCTCAATCTTTTTTTGTGTGCCTTCAGCAGCTGTCAGCTCTGATTGTTTGTCCACTTCTGGACTTTTGAGTTCTGATTGTTTGTCCACTTCTGGACTTTTGAGTTCTGATTGTTTGTCCACTTCTGGACTTTTGAATTCTGATTGTTTGTCCACTTCTGGACTTTTGAGTTCTGATTGTTTGTCCACTTCTGGACTTTTGAGTTCTGATTGTTTGTCCACTTCTGGACTTTTGAGTTCTGATTGTTTGTCCACTTCTGGACTTTTGAATTCTGATTGTTTGTCCACTTCTGGACTTTTGAGTTCTGATTGTTTGTCCACTTCTTGACTTTTGAGTTCTGATTGTTTGTCCACTTCTGGACTTTTGAGTTCTGATTGTTTGTCCACTTCTGGACTTTTGAGTTCTGATTGTTTGTCCACCTCTGGACTTTTGAGTTCTGATTGTTTGTCCACTTCTAGACTTTGAGTTCTGATTGTTTGTCCACATGTAAATTTTGAGTTCTGATTGTTTGTCCACTTCTGGACTGTTGAATTCTGATTGTTTGTCCACTTCTGGACTTTGAGTTCTGATTGTTTGTCCACTTCTAGACTTTGATCTAGCCCCTGAAGCTAGGTTTGTTTGCGCATCCATTTTTGAGATCTGGCTTATTTGTATACGTTGGTTGCTCACCTCTTATGCAGATTCTGTCCCACTTCAAAGGAACCACCTCTAATCAGTCACTTTTTATGACGTGTTTGTTAGGGAGCCAGTGTCTGCTCTTTTCCCCCTCAAAAAAGGGTCCTGGAGTCAACATGGGGAGGATTTACTTGCATATGTTTTATATATCTGCCTCATTTATTTCAGCTATCTGGTCTCGTCTCATTTCCTCTTGTTGATCCTCATGTACCTTATGATGTCGAGGTGAAGCATCAGCATTGGGAGAATGGGTGCTTGTGTGCTTCATATGTGGAGATATATGGACTCTGTTATGTCTTCTGAAATCATTTTCATGTTTGGCTTCTATTTCTGTTTTCTCTTGGTCTGTACTTTATTGCTCATTGTGGATTACTGTCTGTAGGAAAAGTATGCAATTGGAAGGGGTCGGGGGGGACAGGCAGATACGTGCATTGACTGCTTTTTGGTCATGCGATGAAGGAGGAGGTTTTGGATAATATTGTGGCACGGAGGGATATCATCAGCAGACCTGATCCAGAGGACAAGGGACCGAAATCTGTGGCTATGCATGAACACCTATGCCAGTCGGCAGGGCACATGATGATGAGGATGAGTTTTCTGCTCCTTTCTATATGCCTTTACTATTTTTCCCTATTAGCCCTCATGGTGTTAGTAATTAATTAGTGGTGATTAAAGCTACTATGAATTTTTCTGTTGTTTCTCTCTCCATTCCCCACTGTTTGGTCCAAAGATTGGCAGTAAGACTGTTCTTAGAAACATAGACTATCTGGTCTATTTCGACTAAATGTTTTATCTGTTTATACATTGTAGCATTATCAATTTACTTGAGAGTTTTGTCTATTTAATTAATTTTTAATTTGTGTGTGTGTATGTGTGTGCCCGCACGTGAGCGTGAGAGCTTGCATATAAATTCAACTGTCTGAATTATATTTGTTTCTTAACAAACTTGTTCATTCATCTGCCTTGTCTTATTTCATCCACCACAATACAAAAGATCCCACAATACAAAAGATCACACAATACCAAAGATCACACAATACCAACGATCACACAATACAAAGCAGAGGCTGACCATCTAAGCTATGGACAATGGCGATAACAGAGTCCCTGGTATCCTCTACATAAAGAATAAATGGACATCCTCTTGCTGCTTATACTTCTCAGCAACACTGCAGTGTACAAGATAAACAAGGTACAAGATGAACAAGGTACAAGATGAACAAGGTACAAGATGAACAAGGTACAAGATGAACAAGGTACAAGATGAACAAGGTACAAGATGAACAAGGTACAAGATGAACAAGGTACAAGATGAACAAGGTACAAGATGAACAAGGTACAAGATGAACAAGGTACAAGATAAACAAGGTACAAGATGAACAAGGTACAAGATGAACAAGGTACAAGATAAACAAGGTACAAGATGAACAAGGTACAAGATGAACAAGGTACAAGATGAACAAGGTACAAGATGAACAAGGTACAAGATGAACAAGGTACAAGATGAACAAGGTACAAGATGAACAAGGTACAAGATGAACAAGGTACAAGATGAACAAGGTACAAGATGAACAAGGTACAAGATGAACAAGGTACAAGATGAACAAGGTACAAGATGAACAAGGTACAAGATAAACAAGGTACAAGATAAACAAGGTACAAGATAAACAAGGTACAAGATAAACAAGGTACAAGATGAACAAGGTACAAGATGAACAAGGTACAAGATGAACAAGGTACAAGATGAACAAATTACAAGATGAACAAGGTACAAGATGAACAAGGTACAAGATGAACAAGGTACAAGATGAACAAGGTACAAGGTGAACAAGGTACAAGATAAACAAGGTACAAGATAAACAAGGTACAAGATAAACAAGGTACAAGATGAATTTATCTGGCTTGTCTACTTTCAGCTCTCTGCTTTAAAAGCCCAGATTGACTGTGATGCAGACACAATCCAGAGACTCTCACAAGAGAAGACTGAACTAATCGGAAACATTGGGGAGCTGCAGGCCAAGATCTGGAATCTAGAAGGACAGGTAATGTCATTATGACGACTAAAGTGATCTGTCATGGTACTAGTAAACTGTTGCTTTTGTAATGAGTATTGTTTATTGTGTTCAAATTCTGTTCATTTAATATATATAAGTGGCATTAATCTTAGCTAAGAAGTCGAGTAGGTTTTTAAACTTTTTCGTGCTTTAAAGTCACAATTATTACTATTTTGTTTTTTTTTTACCTCTGTGATACATCTTCTGCCTGATGTATCCATGGTCCTAAATGTTGAATGTTGAATTAAGAATTGACATTATAGCACTTAGGACACTCCCATAAGTGCTCCGTCCCCATCTTCAACAGCAAGAAAAGAGTTCCAGTTACGGTGATACCAGTAATTCCCCTTTCCCTTGAGTGTTGAGCGTCGGCCTGATCCCCTGGTAACTTCCTGCAGCGCCATTTTCCTCAGAACATAATGATCTATCTGTGCCCAGCTCTGTTCACTCGCTCCTAAAGGGCCCTTACAACATCCAGCTTGTCATACATCAGTTCACAACCAAGTGGTGCAGAATTGGCCAGTCTATCTACCTTCTCATTTCCCAACACACCGGCCTTACCTGGAGAAAATATCTAAAGGATGCTAACTACCCAAGACCTTTGAAGTAAGGTTGCCACTCTGCACGGAGCATGCCTGTCTCCACCTTTCTCTACACGTTCTGTGGGTCAGTTAGAATGTTTCTAGATACTTACATTTCCCTGCTTGTGCTAAAATAATGCCACTGATTTGTATTATCTTTTTAGGCACAATTCCTTTCTTTGTTACTACCATTACTTCTGTTTTTGAAATTGTTCAAGCTGAGGCCCATTCTTTCACTTTCTACCACTACCTTATCTATCACTTCATGTACTTCTTTCTAGCTTGTCACTATGAAGATGAGGTCATCAGCTTAATGTAAGTTCTTTACATTATGACTACCAACCACAATTCCTGGAAATCCGTTATCAATTTCATTACATATTCGCTGCATCATGCAAATAAATCATCTGGTAGTGCACATCCTTGTCATGGGCCCGTCATTGTGCTGATATGTTCTTACATTGTTATATATAAAGTGAATTGTTAGTGAAAATTAAAGTCGAGAGGTCGACTTCATTGTACTGGGTTTTATCCCATGGAGCTCAGTCTTACCACAGAATGACTAACCGCCTTCCAAGAGCATTGTACAAAGCACTAACTCTGTATCTATGGTAATGATCACCAGAAATTTCTGTAAAAACTGCACTAATGAACAGAACAAAGCAGTGAAACAAATGTGCTGCCTACAGAACACAATTGATCTCACCACCAAAACTCTCAGTAGTTTTTGTATTGACATTGGTATTATCTGCAGAGCTGTAAGTAAAGGACCCTTTTCCACGCCTTTAGGCATATAGGGCATATAGGGCTAGACCTATATTTGTATAGACCAATCGGCACAAGATGGGTGATGTGGTCAGCATCACGCCGGCCGCCTTTACTTTCCCGGGACTGCACCCGGTACCCACTCAAGGCTGGGTCGACCTGGAAGCCAAGGTCATTTTTGAAATAAGTCCGGCTCCGCCAGGGAGTGAACCCACGACCTGTAGTTATATGAGCTGTAGTTATATGAAATGTTCATTTTTTTGGTGACACTTCAAAAGAGGCTGAATTGTGAAGTATCTTATTTTTGTGGAACATCAACAGGTAGCAAATCTTCAGCAACAGAAGCAAACGCTCCAGGAGACAGTGACCTTCGAGCGCAAGCAAGCAGCAGACAACATTCAACAGCTGGAGAAAAAGCTGAGAGATGTTCAAGACACGCTGGTCACAAAGATGTTTGAGATGGCCTCTGCTCGGGACTCAAACATTCCCTTGAAAGCTGAGATTGAAGCCCTGAAGATGCTGTTAGATGAAGAGGAGGCCAGGTACAGTGTGCAAGGAAAATTCATTCTTAACTCTTCCTATCACAACTCTTTCTGTCTGAACTATTTCAATCTGAACTCTTTCAGTCAGTCTTAACTCTATCAGTCTGAACTTTTTCAGCCTTAACTCTTTCAGTATTAAGTCTTTATGTCTGACCTCTTTAGGCTTTCCTCCGAATGATCACATTTAAAAATATACCATAACAGGGCCTCAATAGGTAATCGATTGGAAATATTTAAAAAGTGGGAACACAAATATAAAGATCAGGAACAATTGGACATACTCACCAACAACATTTGAACATTTATATGTGGAAATTGTGGCACAGAAGCTCTAAGTAGTTTCTGTAAATGTGGCGCCACTGAAACTCGGCTAATATGTAGGAAACAACGCATGACTGGTACCCCCTTGGTGACGTATCTTCTGTTTCAGTTGCATTCAAAACCCTTCAATTGTTTGGGTGTGAATTTCACTGTGTATGCTGTCAGCAAAATTAGTATCATGCACAACAACACGCATGACTATAGATGTCATTGTTTAAATGAACAACGTTGCTATAGCCTCGCCAAGCATCCGTGACAATTGTCGTTCCCGGTAATAGATGATCAGTTATAATGCGTTCCAGTGTTGCCGCTTCTCACCTTTGGACAACTTCAAACCAGCAGCGACCAGTGTTGCGCTTTACTGCCCCATCAACCAATTGACTGTGGCGAACTCTTCGCACTGGTACTTACGGCGGAAAAAGTAGTTCTCGTTCAGTACCAGATAACTCACCACATTTGGGTGGATATGTTGAATTAAGAATCAACATCATAACTTTCCGGAGACTCTCATACGTGCTCCGTCCCCCATCTTCAGCAGCAAATGAAGAGTTCTAATTCCAAAAACACCAGTAACTTTGATTTTATCTCCGTCTTGCCTTTCCCTTGAGTGTTAAGCGCCGGCCAGATCCCCTGGTAAATCCCCACAGCGCCATTCTCCTCAGACCATAATGATCTATTTGCACTTCCGCACAGTTCACTCACTCCAAGAGGGCCCTCACAACATTTAGCTTGCCATACATCAGTTCACCATCAAGTGGTGCTGAATCGGCTAGTCTATCTGCCTGCTCATTTCCCAACACACCAGCATAACCTGGAGAGAATATCCAAAGATGTTAACTACCCGGGACCTCTGAAGTGATGCTTGCCACTCTGCACCGAGCATACCTGTCTCCAGCTTTCTGAACATGCTCTGTGAGTCAGTTACAATCATGGCATGTGTGCACAGCTGATTCTCAGGCCAGTGGAATGCAGCAGTGACTGCCTCCACCTCCATTCTCGAGCCAGCGGAATGCAGCAGAGACTGCCTCTAGTCATGTGCACCAGTCAGCATCTTACATGTGCACATCCGTCTTACAGATCAGGCTTGTTTGTATACAGACTGTTAGTTCCTTGCTTCTCACGTAGATGCACTCCAACTTCAAAGAAAATACCCTGAATTTGTCGACTTTTATGGCATGCGTATTAGGGATATATTGTCACCATTATTAAGACATCCAAGCATAACTATGAGTGCAAAGAGACAGATTACTAATAGCATATTCATTCCAACATTAAGCTACCAGTGCCAGACATGGACACTATCTAAAGCCCATATATGCAAAATCACCACCTGCGAGATTAGGTGCCTGAGAAAAGCAGCGAACCTAACCATCCGAGATCGAGTGAATAATGAAACTATCAGGCAAATTGTGGGAACGACATCTTGTACTAATTTCTTTGAGAAACAGCAGATTAAGTGGTTTGGCCATCTTGTTAGAATGCAAAATTAAATATCATCACAAGCACTACATCTCAGAAGATCAGCTACAAGAGCCGCGGAAAACATGGATCGACAACATTAAAGACACTCTACCCCTTCACGGCATGACAATAGCCAGTGGCAGCCAACGTGCACTGGATCGCAAATTATTCCTTCCCATGACGCTTAACGGCAGAAGTGGTTAATGATGATGATGATATTAGGGGGGCAGTGGGTCTGTTGTTTTCTTTTCCCACAATGGGTCCCTGCAAGCCACATGGTAACTTTAATATCCACTCAACCCATTATGTCCCACCTGTTTCTGTAATACTCTTTTTTTTTTTGTCCTTTAGTCTAACCTAACCCACTGTGCTCCACCTGTTCCTGCAACTCTTTCTGGCTTGTAAAATTAATACTTTAACCTCTGATGATCCAGACTGTAGGCTTAAGAGACTTCAGGAAGTAGTAAATTATTTCTCACTGTTGCTTACATTTTTAGGCTGCACGTTGTGACATCCGCAGCTCATACAAGGATGTCTCCATTGCCAACAAGTGATATTTTGAGGACCAATTCCCTGAATGCCCTGAAGGCAGCACCATCAGGTTACTTACAGTCTAATGCTGGTGGTTATGTGCAGAGGTCAACAGACAGTCAGACGGCTTATAATTTAGGTCAGGACATGTCACAGAATGTGACTGTTATCAGTTTTAAACATTCTAGGACCTCTTATTCTTGTCTTGCTCCTGTTTCTTTCCCTTCTTGTTCATGTTGTTGTTGTTCTCCTCCACTACTTCTGCTGCTGCTTCTCCTTCTACTGCAACCTTCTCCTCTTCCTCATGTGAATGTGCTGAGTTTTAGACATTTTTTAGACAAAGAAGTCAGAGACAATGACCTGCTTGTTTGAAATTGGTATTAAACGAGGACAAGCAGGTAGAAACCAGTTGTTGGGCAAAGAAAAAAGTTATGCCAGTCAACTCCTGATGGAAATATGGAGCATAGAGACACTGAGATGGCTCCTGCACTGAGGACGGGGCACGAATGGGTCGGATCAATGTACAAAAATGTCAAAACGGACAAGTAACAAGTATCAAATACTTTCTCCTCCTTTTTTTTTCATCATCATCATCAATATCATCTTATTCTGCTTCTTATTCTGCTTCTTCTTCTCGTCCTCCTACTTTTCTTCCTCCTCCTCCTTTTTCTTCTCCTTCTCCTCCTCCATCTTTTTCTTCTCCTTCTCCTCCTCTTTCTTCTTTTTCTTCTCTTACTCCTTCTTCTCCTTCTTTTTCTTCTCCTCCTCCTTCTCCTTCTCCACCTCCTCCTCCTTCTCCTCCTCCTCCTTCTCTTTCTCCTTCTTCTGCTTCTCCTTCTTCTTCTTCTTCGTGTTCTTTTTCTTCTTCTTCTACTTCTTCTTGTTTTTCATCCCCCTACTCTTTTTTTTCAAGACGTCTTGCATTGCATCTGTTCATCATTCTTCTTTTAAACCATAACTCTGCAGCTTTCACATATGTTTTCACTAATTTGCTTATTGTCCATGATTTACATCCATACATCAGGAGTGGCTGTATTTAGCTCTTAAATATTCCCTTGTATTATCTGCTGTTCTGCAGGAGGAATCCACCCACCATACCACAATGATCCAGTTGGTGGCTACAGCACATCTTATATCCCTGATGGCTTGTATTCTGCTGGGGACAGACTAACTTACAACACAGGCTATGACAGGGAACTTACTGATGATGATTTGTACAAGCATGAATTTTCACTGCATGAAACAGGACCTCACTATATCTACGAAAGCTCACCAAGCCTGAGTAGAGTTCACATTGAGTCCTCGCTACCTTCGGAATCTCGCTTGGTGGGTCCAATTCCGGTCAGGGCAAGTTCTGCACCAGGTAGTTCATTCTGCTTTAAACTTCAATTTGATGGGTAGTGTCAGAGTTCTGTTGCTTTGTAGATAATGGTATAGTAACATTTGTATCTTTCCTCTGCTGTTGCCTGTTATCCTCTGTTAGGGCTCAGACCTTTGGGAAACTCCTACTATTGTGCTATCTTTTGGCATCTCTTATAGCTCACTAAGTTTCCATATTATTCATCTCTGAAATTTTTTTTAAATTTTTGAATGAATCCCTGTATCCCTCTTCTTATTCTTTTTCTTCTTCTTCATGTTCACCAGCTTCAATCTCCAGCAGAAAGTCCTGGTTGGTCGCCCACTTCTAGTCTTTGGTCTTGTATAAAGGTATGTGAGAGTTGTATGCACATCCACTTTACAGATCTGCTTATTTGTATGCAGACTGTTGGTTCCTTGTCCCTCAGGTAGATGCACTCTGACTTCAAAGGAACCCTACATTGATTAGGTTCTAGCTGGGGGCCTGTTTTTAGGATGACAGCGTAGAGGTGTAGACAGGTCTTGACTGTATGAGCTCTGGCCACGTGTGGTCCAACACCTCTGCACCTGTATCTTTTAAAGATGCAAAAATTGTTATGATTTAACAGCTTACACAACTTCGCATAAAGGGCTTAATGATTGCACCATCGGAACAGCCTTGCCTGGTAGGAACAGAGTCATCTGCGCCAGGTGACTCGACAAATATTGTAAACTGAAATTAGAAGAATCCATTTTTGGACATGTTATGAGAAAAAATTAACTTGAGGGCTTGGTGGTGACTGGTAAGACCGATGGAAACCAAGCAAGCGGAAAGCAAGGAGATACATACTTGGATGGCTTGACCATTTGGATGGAGCAAGACAAGACCACTGAAGTGATCCCTGATTTTAGTGATCATGGGAAATGGTGAAACATGATAGCATATGCTCGTCAGCAGGCATGATGATGATGATCATGCATATTTGTGCCCTGTAGGTTTTATTGCAAGCACTGCAACCCAAAAACACATGGAGAATGGGGCTAGAGAGCAAAGTTACAAAGATGGGAGGACATGTTGAAAGTTGCATGAGATAGTGAAGGTTTTATTGCAAGCACTGCAACACAAAAAACACATGGAGAATGGAGCTAGAGGGAAGTTACAAAGATGGGAGGACATGTTGAAAGTTGCATGAG